AACTTTGCTTAATAACATGGGCCTGAACATGTTATTATTTTTAACATTGAGGTAAAAACAATTGAAAAAACAACAAAAAATTACAATAAGCTATTGCTCTATGTAGTCTATTTCGCTAATAAAAGCATCACTCTGCACCAGATACGCAAAGACTACATATATATAAACCATACCAAAGTACGATGGGAGTACAAAAATCAAGCAGCAAACTGACACAATGCTACAATTGCCAGCTTTATAGAAATGGATCCATGCATTGCGCTGTAAAGACCTCTTGCGCCCACTGTGCCGGCCCACACAAGACCATTGAGTGCCCTGACAGCACCAAACTAAAATGCGCAAACTGCAAAGGGAATCACCCGACCCTCAGTGCCCTTGCCGACTTTCTTATCAGTCGCTTCTCCAACGACGATCGTCCAGCGGTAATCGTTTCATCAAACCGAGGTACGAGAACCAAACAGCTCGTGGAGCAAACCGAAATATGCTCGTATCAGCTGTACCAAGACAGCACTCAACTCCGATTCGAATGCCAAATCTTCCTCAAGTTTCATACCCGAGCTACAGAAATGCAGTCGTAAACAACGACTCAAATCCACCGAGTTCTCCCGACCTTTTTACCATCGACGAAATCACAGCTCTTACGACTGAGCTCATAAATAAATTGAGTGCCTGTCCCTTAAAAAAGTGAGCAGTTCAATATAATTACTCAACTTGCTATCCAATATGTGTACTCCAATAAGTAAATCACTCACTCATATTAATATCATGGCTTGGAACGCTCGTGCCGTCAGTAGTAAACGTCTTGAGTTAGTTAACTTCCTCACTAAAAACCAAATCCATGTTTGTCTTGTTAGCGAAACATGACTAACGGATAAAATTAAACTGTCTATACCAAATTATAAAGTTTATCGAAATGATCGTGGTACTACAAAAGGTGGAGGTGTTGCGATTATAGTAGAGAACAGTATTCAGCATGAACAAATCAAAATTATAAAGACCCATCTTATAGAAAACATTGCTATAAAGATAAACATTGACTCCAATAATTCTCTTAAAATATACTCAGCCTATTTTCCTGGTGCTTCAGCTAAATGCCTAAACAATCCATGCTTCAGCTAAATGCCTAAACAATCCTGAAACAATGTTCAGGGCCGACCTAGTTAAATTTTCACAAATTGATGGCCATTACATATTGGGTGGTGACTTGAACTTCAGAAATCGATTATGGAATTGTGACAGAGCTAAATCGTTTGGAAATGGCCTTTTTGTCAACAGGAAAATTTTCGCTTTTATACTCCAAAGATCCAACCTATATACCAGCTAACTTTAGTAGCAAGCCTTCAACTCTTGACATTTTCCTTACAAATTCACCGATAAATTTCTCCGAGCCAATTGTGCATACTGATCTCTCATCGGACCATTTACCAGTACTTTGTAAGTTTACTAAAGGAGTTCATTGCAAAAATGTTACTTGCAATACTCCAAAGCCAACCGGGAAAAATTTAAGCTTAACCTCAATGTTGCAACCAATCTTGAAGCTCTTTCGGATTTTGAAGCGGAGCAAGAAGTAATAGATGTAATGGTCAATATTCTTCAAGCTGAAATACATAATGCAATAAATCAGTGTACCCAAGTGCCTGTTAGGCCCATAGTTTTGAAAATTCCACAGTGGATAAAAAATATAATCAGTGTTAGAAACACAAATCAAAGAAAATGGATTAGAACCAGACAACCCATCTTTAAGGCTAGGGTAAACTATTTGAACCAAATGATTCGCCAGAAACTATTTGAGCTTAACAATGAAAAATGGAATCTTAAACTGTCTAAATTGGACAAGAATTCCAGACCATTTTGGAAGCTTACTAAAATTATTAAGTAGAGTTATCATTATCTGAGTAGACTTTTGAAAAAATCGAAAATTACCTATACCAGAATACCTATGTCTATCGACACACGTAGGATTTTTTTTTTATTTTGCTTTTTTTTTTATCAACAATTTTGTGACGTTTTTTGTTCGTGAAAATTGAAAATTTTGTTCGATCACTCACTATTTTGCAAAAAATCAATATATCGAAAAAATCCTACGTGTGTCAATAGCCGTTGGGATACAGAAACTAACAAAACTTGACTTTTTGTTCTAGATCAAAAATTAAGGACGTTAGGTGTTCGGCCATGGACCCCCTTTAAAAAAATAGGGCCTACGAATAAGGGCTGCAGGGCCGCCATTTTGTTTTCGATTTATTAAAAAAAATTGTGTAGTGTATTGTGTAGTTTGTGTAGTGAAGTCTATTGTGTAGTTTAAATATAATATAATAAAACCCCATTTACAAATTTTCGATTAGCTGTTTTTATTTGGCCAAAAAAAATTCCAGAAAATCTGCTTTTTTTTTCGCCAGTTACTCAGATGTCCCCCTTAAGAACAAAAAACAGTTCATCCCAAGTTTCTTTCACAATAATATAGTGTTTACCACAAGAGCAGAAAAAGCAGATATCTTAGCAGAAATTTTTGAATTAAAACATCGCATTACTGACAGTTTCTTAGACTATAATACCTCAACTCAAGTCCAAAACACTTTAAGCGAATTTAACAATTTGAATGACCTAACATTCACACCTGAAATCACTATTGACGATATTTAGGATATTGACGTCATAATAAAGTCACTAAAAAATAACAAATCACCTGGCATTGATAAAATTCCAAACATTTGTCCAAAAAATTTACCAAAAAAATGCGATAGACTTTTTTGTTCTAATCATGAATAAATGTCTTCAAATTGGTTATTTCCCCTTAAACTGGAAAATTGCAAGAAATGTTCCAATTCCTAAGCCAGGGAAGCCCCCGGATTGTCCAAACATTTACCGTCCGATAAGTTTCCTATGTGGTTTTTCAAAAATTTTTGAAAGATTAATTAAATCTAGGCTCAATCTGCGTGTGGAAGATAATAACATTTTACCCCTAGTCCAATATGGCTTTCGTGCTTTTCTGAACTGTATTCACCCACTTGATCAAATCACTAACTATATAAAGGAAAGTTTTGCACGAAAAGAGTCAGTTGGCATGGTGGCATAGAAGCTGCTTTTGATACTGTTTGGCACCATGGTCTAATCCAGGGGTGGGCAAGCCCATGGCTCCTCGGGCTCTCAAGGCTCCCTCCGTTATTCGTAATTTTTGGCGTCAGCAAATCGGTCCAGACGGTCGGGTCGCGCGGCCAGTGAGTCGTGGAGATTTACAAAAACAATGCTACACAAATTTCGAAGCAGGTGCGGACCCGACTCCTCGGTCCCGAGTTTGCAACAACAAAAAATAAGGGTGGGTTTGCGCACAAGCAACTTAAAACAAAAACAATTTTAAAGCGAACTGCGCAGTTGTCGTCGACTTCTGCACAGCCAAAAAAGTTTGGAAGTCATTCTGTGCAGTGAATTCAAGACAATAATAAATAAGTTACAAAATAATAAAAAATTAAATGTACTGAAACTGTTTTTGTCAGTGTATTCTTTTTGCTCGCACATTCTGTCTGGCTCGTGGCAGCGACGCATCGCGACGGAGGTGGTTGTTGTTGTAATTTGTTGTTTGGCCGAGCTGCGGCTCCGACCGTTAGATTTCGTGCCCACCACTGGTCTAATCCATAAGCTTATCTTTTGTAGCAGCCCAATATATTTAACAAAGATCATCAAAAGTTTTCTCTCAGATAGGTACTTTTGCGTCAGTCTTGAAGGTACCAATTCGTATAAAAAATTAATCAAAGTAGGTGTCCCAAAGGGCTCTGTGCTCGGACCAGTTCTTTATAACATTGACACCTATGACATCCCCCTATTTCAAAAATGCCATACACTTATATTTGCCGACGACACAGCCTGGTTTAGCTCTGGCACTACTTATAATTCGATAGAAAACGAGCTTCAAATGTCCTTAGATGCAATATCTTCTTATTTTTATAAGTGGAAAATTAAAATAAATGCCTCAAAAACAAAATCAATTTTCTTCACCAAAAAACGGAAACTGTGTTTTCTGCCAAATAGTGAACTTAAACTAAAATAACACTGAAATTAAATGGGAAAACTCCATAAAGTATCTTGGCATTAATTTTGACAACAAAATTATTTTCAATGGTCACATAATTATAATTATAATTAAAAATGTTTTTTATTTTACTATTTTTCTATGCGACCAACCGTCTGCATTTAAAAGCAGATATTAAAATGATCGAAGCACTCATCTCTCATTCAACAAACAAATTCAATATTCGCAAATCCTATATCGCACATCCGCGTGCTGACAGGTCCTTCCTTTCCTAGTATTACGCTAGTAACCACGAAGCACCAGTCTTAGTTTTATCTTTGTTCTTTAAGCCCTTTGAGCCAAGTTTTACCATTTTCTTGGGTTATTAAATTACAAATATGAACAAAATAAATATTAAATAAACAAAAAATAGAATATTATAGTTGTAAAGATAGTTAACTAATAATATAATATATATAATAATAATAAAACTAATATAAATTTTTATTACTTTTTTTTCATTGAATATTTATATAATTATATAAATATATTATACTATAATATTTTTCAGTATACCGACATGACTTGGAAACAAAATTTCTCGCTTTAAGGTATTGGTGATTTTCTGCACTGGTATTGGAGTTTGCTCTGCCGTATGCTGAGCTTGGGCACCCCTGAACTAAACAATTGCTGTCGAAAATCAAAACAAAAAGTTTCAGGAGACGTTTGTTCTCAATTTTATTTTTAATTTAACGCGTAGGAACATAATGTTATGGACACAGTGATTCAAAAGGAAAACTTTTAAGTATGCACTTTTAAAACGTGCTAAACGTGCGTGCAACCAGCTGATTTTAATTTCTAACTTCGCACCCCCGAAAATTTTTGTAAACTCATTAGTTATCACTTGTTTTTATCAAAATACACTTTGTGTTTTTAACTTTTAAAAGCACCCATTCCAATAAAGTTGGACAATTAAATTAAAAAAATATACAAAAAATTAAATTGCATAAATATTTTTTATTTATTTTTTTTTAAAGATATTTACGTAGAACCCCATATTTCAATTTGAGATTTAATTCCGGCTCCTCGTGCCGAAGTAAATTTTATTGTGACTGTCGTGGAACCAACTCCACCGGACGTAATTTCAGCGCTCGCACCACGCATACGTTTTAGGTCCGTTATTTGTATATATGTTATTGTCTTCGCTGTTCCAGCTTGCGTTAATGTGTATGTTTTAGTTACGGTTTGAAGCAACATTTTTGATTTCGTTATAGTCTCCCGGGCAATGAGAGTATCAGTTGTTGCTTTGCTACCATAGGTATAATCATTACCTTCTCCCCCACTTCCGCCTAGACCATATATTGAACACGTGGTGCTCAATAATATTAATACGACGCTGCAGAGGTACATTTTATTCGTGACTTTTGGTGTAGAGATGAAACTTTACTGTTGAGATTGGCGTGAGGAGGCCTCGTTTTATAGGTTTTTTTGGATACATCTTGACCCACTTTGATAATAAAGAAGCCCCCGATACCTGAAAAATTATATCTCAGGCAAAAGGCAACGTTTGGTGTAAAATTGTTTAAGAAACATGAGAAGAAAACAAATTGAAATGTATAGAAACGTGTCTGATTATTAGTGAAAAGTGAAAGCAGACAGATAGACATTGTGAAACGTAAAACATGTTTATCATCGGCCCCATATCTCAACAACATCATTTATTTCATAACCTCGTTTTGACTGAAATAAAATGGTAGCGCCTTTGGATCCGGGCCCACCAGAGAGTAGTTCAGCGGTGGCTCCATTCTTTTCTTTTTTATCAGTTATTTTTACAGCCGTTATAGTCAATGCATTTAAGTTATCCTAAAAAGAAACCAAACTGACAATCAGTGTTATTTATTTTCATGTGGAATATTACCTTCTGCTTGAAAACATATTTTTTTGTTTGAACAAGACCAACAAAAAAAGGTTTTGACACTTTATCCTTAGCCAAAATATAATCGTTTGTGGATATTTCTCCCCAAAGGTAGTTATTAAAGGAAAAAATCGGTATAATGTAGGCTGCGAAAGCCAATAAAAAAATAAACCGTCTCTTCATTTGAACAAACTTGTTTCATAAGCCGACCTTTCACAACTGTTTCGACCTATAATAATGTATGAGCTTTTATTGACAAACTTGATTTTTAAGTTTTTAATCTACAAGTACTTTTTTGATTAGAATCTGAAGTTTGTGAACATTTCCACTTTAAATTAATTGATTAGGGGTTATTCGTTACAAAAAGATTTGTTTTTTGTTTTTAATTCTAATTTACATAAATCGAGCTCAATCCGATAAATATTTTCGGAGCTATACATTAATTTTCAAGCTGATGACAGAGGGTCATAAAGAGAGCCGGATAATTTTGAACGCTTTTTTTCAAAACAGTGTTTTCAAAGACGGTTTAGTGATTGGTCTAAAATTTGTATACAACCTTCATGGATATAATCCTTGGATAATATCCTTGGATAAGATAATGAAGAAAGGAAATAATTTTTAAAAATTTATTAACATTTTTTTTTTTTTTTCGACAAATGGAAAATTTCAACAAACGAAGTTTTTTTGATTTTTTTTTTTAAATCCCTTCATTATCTGAATTTATGTATTTTTTAAAAGAAGCAATAAAATGTTTAGATTTTGGATATTTTGAAGATAAGAGGAAAGCACAATTTTTTCGAAGACGTTATTTACAACGTTCGTGATATTATATTCTTGAAAGTAGTTTCTACTTAAAAAAAATAAAACTGGTCCTGGTGCGATTTTTGCTTTCACAACTGTGTTTAACCCCCTAAGTTACTTTATCTTATCCACAACTAAGGAGACGTCGAAATACTTTTGAAGGGAAACAATGACACATGCATGTTTAAAACAAGAAAAAAAGCTAATTTTGTGCTGAGCCGAAGTTGATATACCCTATACTCAAACGGGATATATATCGCTAAAATCGGATAAAGTTGGCCGATCCTTATGAGAATATCATAATATAACCAATTTATTACAATAAAGTAAAAAACAAATGGATAAAAATGGACATTCTAAAAAAAGTTCCAAACTTCTATCTTCAAGAACACCAAAGTTGGTATTTTTACTAAACACCAAATACCATTTCCGATCGTTCAGCTATATGGCGCTATAAGATATAGTCGGCCGATCGTTATGACATTGGTTAGGTCGGTTCAACTGACAAAAATAGAATCTGTAGAATAGAATTTAAAATATTAAAATTTCTTAAGTTGTGAGATAGTTGGTGAACAAACAAACAAGCAGACGGACACGGTTATATCGTATCACGGAGAGGTCTTGTTTAAGTTTACTTTATAAGGCTTGGTCAAAAGTGTGCAACGCAGACTCTATAAAGTATATATTTGCTTGATCAGGATCACGTCCTGAGTTGATATAAGAATGTCCGTCTGTCTGTTTCGGATATGGTGTTTTTAAAGTTAGAGAGTTCGGATATAGCAAGAGTGATATTTTTTTTTACAAAATAATACGATCTACCAAATTGAATAAGGATTGGCCGACTATATCCTATAGCTGCCATATAATTGAACGATCGGAAATGACCCAACTTACATACACACAAATTCAGATAAATAAAGGTAGTAGTAAAGGGGCTTTAGTTCTTTTCCCAAGCGCAAAAGTATACAAACTAGTATACAGGTTAGTAACGGGTACCGGGTATAATATAGTCGGAAAACGCGACTATAGCCGTTATTTGTTGTTTTCTTTCAACTTGTATGGTCCCTAGGGGACATTAATCCAAATTACATTAATAACATTAATGGGTTAGGTCGCTTAATAAGGCAATTTCTCTATCCAAGCCTACCATCCACCGCTGGCTTTGGAAAAACGCCCTAGTTTCGGATGTCATATCCCGCATAGTTGGTCTTTACTTTTGCTGCGATAGTTGATAGTTGCCGCGCTGTCCAGGATAAAATGAGATCGTTAATGAGACAGACGGATTGAGAAAAGCAGATTTAAAGATTTAATCACTGGTTTTCGCCAAAAACCGTAACCCAACAGGATAAACCACCGTCCGGAACACCGGTACCGACTGATATTGCAGTTTTCGAACCTGCCAAAAGCCCCTACAGCAAATTCTTCCATAAAACATATATTTGTTTCTCGGATGTCTCTGATATTTCAGAGATTAATATCTCGGCTTTCATCAAAGACAAATAGTACAAGAAAGGACGGCTGTAGTCGTGTTTCCCGACTATATTGTACCCGGTACTCACCCCTTTCACTCACAATTTACCTTACTTTTAAAGTTTAAACTTAAAAGGTATGGATTCTCTCCAAAAATTCCAGCTTTTCTAGGAACAGTTCTTAAACAAATGAAAATCTACCCTTCCCCAAATTTTTTGCAGTATGACGTAGTGTGTCCATACTCTTGGCAATTAGTGCGTTGCGCTGGACCGTGGCGCTTATGTGGCTCTTCAAAAGTGATTCACCGATGCAAAAGATATTGTCGTTTATAGATTGGGTGGACTTTGTTCTTCTTCAGCGTCCTGCTTTCTGGCTCGAGCTCGACCTTGAAGAGGGGTTGTGACTCTTTGTCTTTATTTAGAATGTTTATAACATTCTTGGCGGTGAAGCCGTTTTCTTTAAAGCGGTAACATCGGGTTCGATTCCACGTGTAGTTTTTCTGAGCATTGTCCAGATTTAGGTGGTCTAATGTAGATAATGTGTTAAAATTTTAGCGTGTTAGTAAATGCTGGCTATCTACATTTCCGTTAATAAGGTTATGCAGAAAAACTACACCAAGCATTGTCCTACGATTTGTTAAGCTAGGTAAGTTTATAAGTAAAAGTCTGCTACTGTAGGATGGAAACTGAAGATTTGCATCCTAGTATAGACCTCTAAGTGCAAATATTAAAAAGTTCTTTTGCACGGATTCTATGCGGTCCTTATGTACTCCATGTTGGGGACTCCAGAGGCATGAACCGTACTCTAGTATAGGACGGACCAAAGAAATAAATAATGTTTTGGTTATATAGGGGTCATTATATTCTTTTGACCACCTTTTGGACTTTTGGAAAACCTTTTTGGAAAACCAGCTTTTGGAAAACCAAGGACTCCTTTAGCCTTATTAAATATGGTCGGCAAATTTAAGTTTGATATCTAATAGGATGCCGAGATCATTAACCTGGGTTAATTTTTCTAAGGCAATCCCATTAATAGAATAAGTTGCTTGCAGAGGGCAAGAACGATAAAAAGACATATGTTTGCATTTTGATCCATTAAGTATTAGATCATTAGCTAAACACCATTTTTGAAAGTTACCAAGGTCAGACTGAAGACTGCATTGGGCAGAGATGGATTTGTACTGAAGATAAAGCTTTATATCATCTGCATACATAAGAACTAGAGAGTTCGTTAAAGCAAGGGGCAAGTCGTTTATAAAAAGCGTGTTTAAAAAGGGCCAAGATGACTTTCTTGAGGGACGTCAGATGTAGCACGGACCAAACGGGAGAGTATATTTTTAAATAAGACTCTTTGTGTTCTTCCATCTAAGTAGCTAGAGATCAGCTTATTCAGTTTACTCAACAAGAGTGAGTGATTATTTATTTATTATTATTAACAATGAACTGTTATTTCTATATTATTATAACTAAGAGTAAGGATAAATTAAGTTAAAAGATATTCCATAATTTTGGATTTAATTACATCTAGGGATAGTTCAGGGGACATTAAATGGGATAACGAGTTATAATTTTTACAAATAACGCGGAATGGATCGTGTCCCGCAAAATTAGACCTAGAAATCGATAATCAAAGGGGTCGGAAGGATCTAGTTACTCTATTAGGCACAGAAAACATTAATTTTTCAAGAAGTACTTGTGAGTCAACCTGTCCAAGAATAAGCACATGAAGCAGCATAACCCCAGCACAAGTACGGCGCTCTTTTAAAGGAGGTAGGTTTAGTAATTTTAACCGGCAATTATACGACGGGAGGGAAGTGGCAGTATCCCAGTTTAAGTCTTTTAACGCAAATAGCAGAAACTGCTTTTGGACTGATTCAATCCTCCTTTGGTGAACAAAGTATTGCGGACTCCAAACGCTAGAACAGTATTCCAAGATAGGACGAACCAACGATACGACGATTAACTGAATCAATTGCTTTGCTGAAATCTGTGTAAATTACATCGGTTTGATATCCCTTATATCCTTATCCTAGGATAAGCAAACATTTTACTACTCAATATTTCATAAGTTAGGGTCCCATTATAAAATTTAATTATTGTCCATAACTCCGGACAGATTTTTAATATAACTATTGATTGATTGATCAATATTGAAAAAAAAAAAAAAATAATAATATTCAGTTTACTCAACAGAAGTAAGTGATTGATTGAATCAAATGCTTTCCTAAAGTCTGTGTAAATTACATCGGTTTGATATCCCTTACAAAAGCCATCTATGACAAAGGATGTCAACTTCAGTAAATTCGCTGTGGTGGAGCGAAGCTTAATGAAGCCATGCTGAAAAAGAGAGATGATCGAAGAGCTTTTCCCCTTTTTAATGAAAGGTAATTATGAAAGATTCATTCCACATGGGGAAAAATCGAGGTTTCCAAAAATAAGTTGAAAGTCTATGGGTTTGCACAGAGCCCTGGCAGTCCATTGGGGCCTGGCGAATAAACGGGTTTGACTCTTAGAAGATCAGACAATAAGCTATTTTCGGAGAAAAACGGACAGAAAATAAGATTTGCTAATTGAATGTTGTATGAGTAAGTCTGATCTGTCATTTTAGACGGAGAACAAGTTGATTGAAAAAATTTTACGAATTGATCGGCAATGGCCCGAACAGAAAGCACAGATGAACTTTCAAACGTTTTTAACGTTCAACGTTTTTATCGAGTGAATTAGAGCGTTTCAGTAGATGGTAGTCGTCTACATTGCCATTAATAATGTTGTGTAAGAAAACGAAACCCAGAATCATTCAACCTAAGATTATACAGTACATAAAAGGAACTTCTCAAAGACACCAAAGTGTTCCTATGGTGGCTCCAGGGCTGGAACACGTTGGACGTGCGAGTTCCACCGCGCGACAAGCTAAGTTAATGAAATTATCCCATATTCCTCAGGATTGGCGGAGTTGTAGAGCGCA